GACAAAGGAGGTGTATTCGCGTCCTTAAATTTTGTAAATTAATGGATGAAGTTGTAATGAAAAATCTATAAAAAACAAAATGTACGAAAATAGAAAGAATTTTTGTTATTTTTCTGGCAAAATTCTCACAGTTATATGAAGAGATCATGAACTGAAACAATTTTGGTGAGTTTATAGATCAAATTGTAATGAAAAATATTTTTAGACATAATTTGTAAGTTTAGCCAATAGTTCAAGAACTAAATCAATGGGGTTTTCTTTTTCTTTTTCCAACTTTCTCCTTTTGCCTACATGCTTGCAGATGGTAAGAAAAGTTAACAATATCTTTTTGCAGGTACTGCGGTAGATGGAGGATGCAGGAATTCGACCTTTGAATGGAATGTTTTGTGATATATCCCATTTGCAACAAAAGGCTGGTGGAGCCGAGTATGCACCTGTAATAGAAGGAGTGTGTAAGCAGATGCTTGTTTGTTGCAACATATTTCATTGGACTAGAATATCTCTTTAACTGGCATGTTTCGTCACTCTCCATGATTCTTATAATGACTAAAAGAGCTTGTATGAAATTCCAACTGAACTTCATATGGGAAGGGCGATTGTGCCTTGGTAAGAAACTTTAAGAGCTTGTGTGTTTAAATGGCAGAACCTCTTCTGAGTGGCTCATTTGGCCCTAGATTACTCTAATGAGATCCTTTAAAGTTGAGTAAACTATTTTGTGCGTACCTAATGTACATTATACCGGCATGTAAAATTTAATTTCTTTGTCACACTTGGAATACATATGTAAGATCCATGTATTTTCAAACTGTTAGTAGGAATTATTTCTTGAAAATGATGCTTCCCTTCTAACCCTACCTACCCTTGAGTTTTTCGGTGAAATCCTGAAAACGAAGGCAAAAATGGTGGTTCAAGATTTGAGATTTTGAAGTGCATCTTTATCGTCCGGTTTAACCCTAGAGTTGATGGGTTATGACCCTGAGCTTGTTGCTATTATACGTATTGTACATAATAATAGTTTCTTGTGAGAGAGATTTTGAAATTGATTATTCAGTTGTTGACGGTTAAGTTCGTTAACATTGGCTTCTTTCTTGATTGAATCTTGCCACATAAATGTCAACTTCAAGATTTGACAAGTTCAACTTGGATGAACTTGTTTTGGTTTTGGTTTTAATGCATATTTCTCTATATTTTAACATATATATATATATATATATCAAGTTTAGGACCTAAAAAAAATTTCTACTCTGATATGTATTTAATTAGAACTTTAGATTAAAAAAATATGTTAAATGAAGAGATTTATTTTTTTAAACATCTAACTTAATATAAACTAAAAATAAAATCTTTTAAATTTAATTAAATTATTAGACAATAATCTAAGTTATTAATTTTTTGAAAGAACATAACTTTTTTAGTTAATATACTTGTATTATATCTGGAAAATAATAAATTAAATTTGATGTTCTTTGGGGCAGCGGAGAATATTATTTGAACCCAAATGTTAACTTTTAACGAAAAATTTATATCATTTAAAATTTCAGCAAAATTAAATAAATTATTTATTCTATTTAAATAATATATGAGTTGAAAATTGGGTATTATGAACTTTAAAAAAAAATAATATGGTTTGCACACTTTGAAGTTTATGATAAAAATTTTTTAGCTTATTTAATAAATTACTATTTTTATAAGTACTAAATATTGCAAGGCTAAAATAATTTATGTTATATCTTTAAGAAAAATTCAAAAAAACTCATGGTATACCAACAAAAAAAAAAATACAGTGACCTAATGTTTGAGTACTAGACACTAAAAGAATCAATTATCCTACTAAGAACGATTCTAATGACCATCAACAAAATAATACCTATACCCTAAACTGCATAAATGATTGATAGAGAATTTTAAGTAGCAGTATCACTTAGTTGATAATTAATA